TCAACCAATGGCTCGTTAATGATATTTGCTGCACCTACAGTCATGTTTTCTTTTGAAGACTATATCACTTTTGTCCAGTGATCTGCCTTCGCCCTACTGTCCCACAAACAGATGAAACAATGGTACTTTGTTTATTCACTCTGTTACCCAAGGAAGAAGCTTACCACCATCTTTTGATCAACACAAATAGACACAAATAGCAAAGCTTCTGCAATACCATTTTGATATTTTCGCATTCTTTAAGTTTTGTTGAGTGAGCAATTGGAAGAGATGCATATTGGTTACCATTATGCAATAAGACACATTTCAAGCTTCTAATGGAGCTATCTACAAACAACCCCCAATCTCCTGGTCGATACTGGAGGCTGTTCAGGGATGTTATTGTACTTAAGTTCTTTATCTTGGCTGAAGTAAGGAAGGATTTCAACCTCTCATATCCGATAAGCTGTTATTTTAACTTCTTGTTGTGACTTTGTAAATGGTCCAAGTCGGACCGAAACGTCGTCGTAAGCTTCTCTCTTTTATGTGCGGGTTATTTGTGTATCGTTCCAGTCACGGTATTGTGCCTTTTTTGTTTAGTTTTCTTTTTAGTCTGGATACTAAAAGTTCAGATGCTTGCTTTGACGGAACTGAAGTCCCATATCAATCATGGGTTCTTCTTGGGAGATGCTTTTTGTTATAGTTCTTTCTTTGTGATACTAAGATTTCTTACAATGAACATATCGTCATGGTTCTCTTAATGTGGGGTTTGAAATCCTTAATCTACATTCACTTCCACTAAAATCACACGTGTTACATCCTAAACCCTGAATTTCTTTAACATCTGACAACAGAAGGTCAGGCAGTCATGTAAACACTGGTATGCTAACATCTTCACTGTGTGGCACAGGTCTTCTTGCTGACTCCAAATCATGATATTCCCACTTTACTTTCTTGTACTAACTGAAACTTTTCACATTCACCATACAGAAATAACAAACGTCGTGGTGTTTTTTCGGCTCTCTCCACACCACAGACACACCCAAGTTTCAACTTTTCCTTTGTCTATTTTTCCACTGTCCTAGGCATTCTACGCAAGGGGAGCCCAAGATTTTTCTTGTTCTCCAAGCGCCGCTCCAAAATAAGCAAGATAAGCTTGTTTTACAAATATTCCTGATTTTTTTTTTGTTTCTGAAAAGAGTATTCGCCACAAATGTATTTGAATTGTTTAAGCAAGCTCTTCGTGAAGAACTCGTATTTATCTTGAAAAAATAAAACAAATGTTAAAATGTTGTTACATGGTTGTTGTTGATACAACTCCTTTCGCTAAATATTAAATCATTTAAAAATAAAATTCTAATCTTTATTAAAACTACCTGTATATAGAAACTGTCTGTATATATATACGCGTTGTAGATAAGTTCCCTGTTAACGGAGGGTAGCTATGCAATATCTCACAAACTAGAGCCAATCTGAAAAACGTACTGACATTTTCGAATTCAACAACCCCAAAATGCCCTAAATACCTTCAAATATCTTTGGTAACGAATTTTCTGTTGTTGACCAGTGATGCAATCTGTCGAAGTGAGCCTCAGCATGAAGCCGAATTAGAAGTTATTCAATCTAACTGCTGTTTTATTTTCTGCATGTAGGTTTGTGCCGTGTCTATGTACATCGAAGGAATCAAAGATACAATAATAATGATAAAATTCCTCGAACGGGAACAGTTTCGCATGCGCAGTCACGTGTCACAGGTTTATGAAAAGTAAAGTAACCTTCCTGACCATTATCGACTAATCTGCTTAAATTCGTCAGCTACTAAAACGCATGGAAACATTAATTCGATAGCAAATAGTCCGACACTGAGATGGAAATTAATTAAAATTTTACAACATGGCTTCCATTTAACTGAAGGACTGATCACCTCAAATTACCTCTCCACTTCTTCCACCGTCTCCAATAGTTATTCTCTGTATCCGATTGAAACTGCCACTGGTGAGCAAAATCGTCATCATTAATAAATATACCCAGGTGTTACACATGACTTGTTCATCAACTTGTTAATATATATTTGGATCATTAAAGTAATGATCCAAATACACGACACACTGGCCTCAGAAACATACTTGAACATTCCCTAATTTATCGTAATGTCTAACAAGGACTTTAATGTTTCAGATAAACGAATTTATTTCAATGACGCTAGACATTCTTTCCATAATAAGTGGTGAATATATGGAACAGAACATCAGTAGTAGTAAATACTTTTAATAAACTATATTAATTGGAAAAAAGGTTGAATAAACATTTTATACTCATGACACACCACTTCTGCCGAATAAAAAGCCTTCTGTATTAAAAAAAGTTTTAAGGCAAAGGTCTGTTGTGATTTAATTATTATAAATAACCTTCACAATACTAGGGGAACTGATAAAGTTAAATGAGACAGACTGACATAGGAATGACTAGAACCAGGAGGTATGGAAACTGCTCGAATATGTCATATATCGTAGAAAATTTCTTCACCGTACGAGTGATAAGTGAGTGCAGGAAGAAACTCCTTACATGCATTCATGGGTAGACGCAATTATACCATATAAGTTAGAAATCAATAATCTACTTGCCGATCGACTGAAAGGCGGGTCAGGGCAGCCATAACTATAGGATAATAAACAGGTGAGAACACAGTAGGTTTAAGGGCACAAGAGCAACTAGTGAAACATTTATTACGGCTACGTTTCGCCCTCTAGAGCAAAACGTAGTCTTAATAAACGTATCAATAGTTGCTCTTGTGCCCTTTTACCTAACATATTGTTGACAATGTTACCAGTATTTACACAGTTGATTACACGCTCGCCCACAACAAATATATCTTGAGCACCGTGTTTTCAGGGACTTTTCCTTGCAGTGCACCTTGAACGAGGAAACGGGCGAGTATGTGCGCGTCAGAGTACCTGAGAGATAACGTTGTCTGGGACGGGGGATGGGAAGGCCGAGGAGATAACGACGATTCAAGGAGCTAAGAATTGAGGTTAAATGCAACATTAAAGTTGAACAGACTGCTATACTTTTACCTTTGTTAATTAACACTTACTAAAGGGCAGGTGCCCTGAACGACAGGGACCCTGAATTGGCTCTGAACTTTATAAACGTATAGGACGTTTCACAACACTATAATGATGCACGAAAGACCTCTCTGTTACTCAGGACAGACTGAGACGGCAGCTGGAGCTCTTTGTGATCGTATGAGAATGAATCAGTAGTAGATGGAGGAGTTGATTATTCAAGACACAAGACACTGATAGTTGAACTCTCCAACATAAGCAGGATCCCGCTGCTAGGGTCATAAACTTCAGCAGCAACCTTTGCACATAGTGAGAAGAGTACTTTTTGTAATACCTTGGCCCGTTTGAGCCAAAATACTGAAATGTTTTGCCCCTGTGTTGGAATTTTCCGCTAAACTCGTTCTGTGTTGGTGACTACTTCCTAGATTGAAACTGTTTTTGTTTGAGATTTCGAAATGGCTGTTTATGTTTTGGAGATTTTGCCCTTTCCACGTGTCAGCCGAGCGAAACCACTCAACAAGCCTGGCCTTGTACGAGATATTCATAAGAAAATGAAGGCCGAAAAATTATTCGACCTTTGACCCTGATGGTATGTCCACGTAAGTCTTAAGTAAGGTTACCCCTGTCAGAAAATTTAAATCTGACCCTGCCTGATCCTTCCAAAAGCAATAGCAGATTGTTGATTCCCAAGTAAATATTAGAGACCTAAAATTCCTAAGGATTCTCATTAGGTCCTGTTAGTGATTCTGCACATGTTTCTCAGCAGTTTAAACCAAGCATGCAGTTTAACAGAGCATACTTCCCTTTTAATCACTACTCGAACTTGAAAATGCTAGATGTCGTAACGTGACTAGCTCGGTACTTGACCAAGGAGTGCATCTTGCATTCCTGGTCACAGCTAATGCTTACTATATTGTCGCATTACACTTTCGAGAGTAACAAATGCCGAAAAATAATTCCATCTCCTATAAGGATATATTTCGATGCCTTTATCAAAACCTCAGAGAATAAATCTGCTGAAAGGGTGTCTGGTATCTTAGAAAGTGCATCGTTTAGTGCTGGGTAGCGTGTGCAAGGCGAAACTAAGTAGGTTGGACAGAAAGGAGAGCTAACGAGTTTCCTGCAGGTCCCACTTGCCACAATGTTATTGTTCTAAATCTCTCTTACGGCCGGTGGGCTACGGATAACTAACGCACTTTCAACCATCTACCTACAGGTTTTACATTTTATTTACAAAACACTAGAATCGTTTGGTTTTTCATATCTTTAAACATTCCGTTTCCAGCATTATCCATTTTACACTAAAATTGGGCTGATTAAGTCACTGGCTGACGAGTTGATTATTCAAGTGTTACTCAAATGTTATCAAATTTTCGGTTTCCAAAACCATTTATATATTAATACTATTAATAGCAACTTTCAGTTCACTCTCGTATTACGTAAATCATAATCACAAAGCAAGCAAAACTATTTAGAATCTATTTTTCATATTCCGTGATCCATATCCATAATTCGCTCCACATTATCAGCCGTAGTGTCAGAAAGTTTAGACGAAAGGGAAAATATTCCACCATTTTATGTTGAAGAGATGCTGGGTTCTTAGGCAGGCAAGCTCCTTGTGTCACCCCCTCCCAGAGAAGAGGTCCCTAATACATACTTCCAGAATATACAAAATGAAGTATGTGATGTTTGGTGAAGTGTATCACAAGAATATAATATTATAACAATATTGTATTTCTTGTAACTATTAGAGTTTTAACTATCCTTCCGTTCTCCTTGCCTTGTCCTATCCCCTTTTTAAATAAATTTCCTTCTATTCTACCTTCCACGATGGTGGGGGGGGGAGAAGGGAGGGGAGGGAGAATGAGCAAGATAAGATTATATTTAACACAAATGAAAGAATCTGCTGTGACATTGGAACCATGTGAAGATAATGTTGAGATAAGAGCATGCATGTTATCAACGTGGCACTGGTGGTCAGGAGGAGGCACTAATTCCCACAGTTGTGTGTCGCTTCACCTGCAGACAACTACCTCAACCTACGCCGGCTGCCTGAAGGTGAGTGTCTACTCTTGGACATTTTATATTAGATATTTGTTAGCTGAGTTTAGGTCTATACTTTCCTACATCTGCTACAGCTTTGTCTAGATCTACAGTTTTCAGGTCAGTCCTTTCAGTAGTGACGCTGTTTAGGAAACACCTGTCAGATTCCTTGTCGCCCAGGAAATAAAAACTACAAAAGACCACAGAAGTAACCTTCTATCACAATAAAAATTAACTACTTCTCAAGAAATCACAAGAGACCAGACCACAAGCTCCAGGTGAATAAGACATGTGCAATGCCTTGGAATCTTTATTACGAAGATATTTCGACAGCAAGCGGCTTTTTCAACTGAACACAGAGCTTATAAAGTGGAGACAGGAGAAGATAAGGCAATCAGTTCCTGAGCCTTGTTACCTTATCTCCAATTTATCTCTACATCGAATCGAAAAAGCTACTGGTTGGGGAAACGTCTTCAAACAAAAGATTCCCAGACGCTGCATCTGTCTTATTCACCTAATTGTCAAGACTTTATAATATTATTGTGAAGAAATTCCAGGAGTTTACCAAATACTATACATCAAGTGTTAGTTTGTGGGTGAAACTACTCGTGATCAAACAACCAGAATAACTAAATATAAACAATCAATTAAATATGCACAAAGAGCTCCGCCATTTTCGGAACATGAAAGCTTGTAAGCACAATAAATTGGGAAGGTGCTAACACACAAAATGGAAGATTAACTTCGGAGGAAGATACTGGAAGCAACAGTGGTAGATCAAACACCCAACTTTAATATTTCAAAAGGACAACCCCAACCAGATATTATTACCTACAGGACTAGACCAGAATACAGTGACACCATCATTGCCCAATTTCCTAACGATGTTATTCATGTAGTATTTTCTACTCCTGCATTAGGAAAAAAAAAACAGGTATAAGAGGGTGATATAGAAAGTAAATACAGAATTGCGAAGAACATTCAACTAGGAGAAGAAATGGAGAATCACAACCAATCCTGACAAGGTTCTCATCAGCACTATCAGAAGCTATGCCACAACAACTGAAAGCAACGGGGCTATCTCCAAATGAGGTACACCCGTCACCATCAAAAACCCGAATAAGATCCTGGGCTACGAGACAAAGACTACTCCACTACATCAAAACGTCATCAAAAAGGTAAACTTAGTAAAAGTCCTCCTCTCATATCAAGAAGCAGTTATATAAGATGATAAGAGCTATGCTTGAATATCCTTGTGCCCATGTCACTAGCAACAAAAAACATGTTACGGCTGCAAAGAATCTACAATAAGGCACTCTGCTTTATCACAGGCACTAGACTTAGGGATAGAATCAGAATGGAAGATCTGCACATCCAACAGGAGATCGACGCAATAAATGTCAGGCTGTACAAACTGAAGAAGTGACAACTATACCATGCAAGAACTCTATATATCAGACAATAAAAACCCACCCCAGCCAACTAACACCACTGACTGCATCATATACTTCCTCATCGGACCTACAGGATGTCTCTCCAACAAAGAGTCTGACGTTTCATACACAAGGAGGACTTCGCAAGACCAAAGATCCTGAGTGGGCTCCCTGAAAATATAGAAGAATGGGTACCACCAGAGCCTATGTTTAAGACAGATAAAACCACCCTTACTGTGGATACCTTACATCTAACCAAGTACCATCTGAAAACCACCTATGACAGGATACCGCCTCAGAACCAAATCAGTCGACCACCAGCACCAGCAAGTGCCCTATAACAAGTCTGAGTAACTTTCCTCCTGTGCCATGTACGTATGCATCTCCTATACAAGTGTGTCTAATGGGTGGTGTGGTATACATGATCATTTGATTATTATGCTTTATACCACACACACAAACACCTATATTAATATGCGCCAAAGTGGTTGGGCCACTCACCTATATTAGCCCTCCCTACCAACTTGGCCCTTTCCCATAATCCATCCTTACCTATCCTTCCTTCTTTTCCCAAGTTACCAAATCTCTAGTGAAAGAACTTTAAACTTAGATGAATGGTTCAGAGAACCGACAGTTGATAAATTAGAAACATGTGCAACACTTGCGTATCTTTAATGAGGAAACGTTTCGCCACACAGTGGCTTCATCAGCCTTGAGTCGATGTAATCAATCCATCAGTCTAGAAAAGAATACACCATATGTGCGAAGTGGCTTATATACTGTAGGCAGGTGAGGTGCAGCAGTCGTAGGTGGTATCACATTTGACAAATCCAAATGTGGAAGTAGGTCATGCCTAAAGGTTAGGCAAGTGAAGAATTCCTATCTTGTGATCTTAATACAAGAAATTCTTCACTTGCCTAACCTTTAGGCATGACCTACTTCCACATTTTGATTTGTCAAATGTGATACCACCTACGACTGCTACACCTCACCTGCTTACAGTATATAAGCCACTTCTTGCCACTGTGTAGCGAAACGTTTCCTCATTCAAGATACCCAAGTGTTGCACATGTGTCTAATTTATCAACTATGAACTTAAACAAGTCCCTCAATGAGACGTCATACTCCTGCCCCGGCTCTCAGGATTTACAACTAGGGCTAACACCCACCTGTTTCACACACCCGCTTGCCGATACAGTAACCTGTAATCATCTTATTTTTTTTAAATTATTGCTCTCGGACCAAGATCGAAGTACATAGATCAACCAGGATCTTTTCTTTAGCTAATTATATATATATATAATATATATATATAATATATATATATATATATATATATATGCACGCAATGCTGAAGTTATTATGTTACTGGGTCATATAGCGTTTGGAGAATGGAAGGTAAACCAGGATACAATAAAATGGCAACTCCAGTTACCTGGATCAAGAGCCATTCGCCAGTATCACATATCTGAATGTTACACATGTGATATTACTTACCACCGACATAACAGAGAACAAAATCCAGTCTGGTGGAGTTAATTTAGGCTACAATCTTTAAGATAAGACTGATATGCCTCAAGGCTGATTCAGTCGTGAAGGCAGGTGATGTGGTTAGTTTATATAAGTTACGTTCAACCAGTAAGTGATATCCATGCACATTATATACATATACACATGCTTTCGTTGGATGACAGGAGGAAAAAAGGATACAGAAACCACATGGAAGATCATACGGTAAAAGAATACAGGAAAAATAGATAAGGTATATTATTTAGCACCATCAACAGGAAGAACAAGAAGCCAAAATTACATACTGGAAAAATAATCGGCACCGAAGACACTATAATAAAGTATATCTTTACAAACCACGGTGCAGGCAGGGAACTGAACTACCAGTGAGTTGTAAAACTCAAGACCGACGTGTTAGCCACTGGGCCAGCTGACTACAATAAATTCATCCAACTAGGTATAGTTATACACCATAGGAAGGCTAGCATAGGCACAACTGTGATCACAAATGTAATAGTAGTAGTAATACAATATGGTAGAACAATCAACTTGCACATGATTAAAAGATCAAAAAACTATTACTTATATTATACTTATATTATAACTTATATTATTACTACTACCACTAGTATTACACCTCATCCTAAGCCTATATATACCCTCTGTGTCCATGTATTGTTTGTAACGGCTTGATAAAGCTCCTGGAGAGCGAAACGTTGCCACAATAAAATGTCACATTAGTTGCACTTGTGTCATTTTACTTTATATATTTTCGGTATTTCTACCAGCATTATTACAAGAATACTTTAATCCATTAAATAGGGATTAAAGAAAACTCTTAGCATATATACGCTGAGAGAAATACAACCCATTGGGTATACATAGTGTGCAGCTAATTTATTCTAGACTATTATATCAAAATTAATTACAAAAAATAATACAAAATGTTTTAATGAAAACATAGGAGAGTAAATGTGGAAGTCGGATGAATTACTTTGTGGTTCGCAAAATATATCAGCAGTATTTGGTGATAAGCTGAAGAAAAAAGCATTGGTAATGTAATACGCTGGTGGCAGGTGGTGACTGACAAGTGATTATGACATCATATAATAGTGACGTACATCAATAATGATATGCCGTGGCCGAATTTGATTTTAATGACAACATATGTTGATGACATGTGACGGTAATTACAAGATATACTGGTGGAATGTGCTGGTACTGTCAACATATGCTGGTGAAATGTGGTGATATTGACAACATAAGCTGGTGACATGTGGTAATGAAAACAAGTATTACAGTCGGCTCTCTCATAAGGCTTTTTTTATATAAACTTTTTGTAACCATGATTGAAAAGTTGCCTCTAAAATTGACTAGCACTCTGAAGGC